CGTCTGTCTGTCTGTCTGTCCGCGCGAGTTCTAGCACTACAGGCTACGGGGCGGCCAATGAGTGGCACCAACGGGTTGTGAAAGACGAGAAGATTGATATGAATGTGGCGATTTTCCCGAAACGACTGCGTTCAGATATGGCGTGAAAACAAGCGAAAAAGCCAACGCGCGGTCGATCGCGCACGCGCCCTCTCCTGCAGGCTGGCTATAAGCTTTATGTCAATTAATCGCCGGAGCATGCGCTACGCCACGTTGGTTGTATATACGATCCACGGCCTCCTGTCAGTTTTGATCTCTGTTCCCTATGGATAAACGATAAATATGCTGAGCAAGGTATGTTCGCAATGTAGCATTTTAGTTCAGGTGGCGAGCAGTTTGTGGTTGCGGCCTTGCCTTCCCATCTATAAAACGTCTGGCGAGAGCATTGAAACACAGAAGAGCGGATAGATTGAATAAAGCAAATATGAGAGCCTCTGAAACACCTGAGCTATTGCTCTAACCGCCAATGCAACTACCCTGTGTTACGGTGAGACTCTTGTTACTGGCTCCGTCGATGACGCACGGCCCAGCATACAGCGATGCTACAACTCGCTAGTTTACCGCCGAGGGTTTGCACTTTAGTGCTTTTTATTTCAAAAGCATCACTAATCACTCTATTGTGTCGGGGAGCGTTCGGGGATTTTACGAGATCCTCAACTACCAGGCATTTCAAAAAGGCAACATGAAGGAGTACCGGGTTGTTAGTGTAGGGACTTGGGTTGGGAGCAATGTGAGTGAGCAACTGACGCTGAATGATGATAAGGACCTGCAATTCGGTGTCAGCAGTGATGGAAGCTTCAGAAATATGGCAATTCAGTCTGAGTGCGATGGATGCCTTTCGGGTACCTTTGTAAGGAACATTCCAGAGTCCTGCTGCGATATATGCGACCCTTGCCTTGGAAGTAACTACTCCTCTGAGCCACTTGCGATGGAATGCAGCAGTTGTCTCGTTGACGGAGAGAGGGAAATGTGGGGAAACACTCTGTTCACTGGAAGCAACAGCTGTGTCCTGATCCCCGAGACTTCAGCCATGTACAGTGACCCCTGGGCCATTCCCAGCCTGTTCTTTGCCTGTATTGGACTCTTGTCTGTGGCAGCAACTGCTGTCATCTTTGGAATATACTGGAAAACACCGATTATCAAGTCCTCTAGTCGAGAGCAGATGATCCTTCTCTTTATTGGCATCACCTGCAGTTTCCTTCTTCCATTCTTCTATGTGGCTCCTCCCTCCATCCCCATCTGCCTGGTCAACAGACTGGGGATCTGGTTCTGCCACTCTCTCATGTTTGGAGCACTGGCCATTAAAGCTCAAAGCATTGCCAGGATTTTTTTATGGCGTCAAGCGAAACCTCAACTACGTTCCTCGGTTTTCAACTCCCATCTATCAAGTCATCTTCACACTTATAATAGTTGCCATTCAGATGGTTCTCGTTGTCGTTTCACTCGCAGTTGTACATCCTGAGGTGCAACGTACGATACGCCACGATCAGAACAGTAAAGGAGGCCTTGGACTACCTGAGGTTGTCATAGTCTGTCGGAAGGAAGAAACTGCAGTGGTCGCACTATCCCTACTATACGAGACCTGCATTATTGCTGTTGCCACTATTCTTGGAATATTCAGCTTCAAATTCCCTAAAAATTTCAATGAAGCAAAGTACATATCGTTCTGCACCTTTTCTCTCCTCGTTGTTTGGTTGGGCCTCATACCAGCTTACTTTACGACCGAATCGAGACCAGAGATCCAGAACGCTGCCATCTCACTGTTCATCATCTTGAGTGCTTTCGGAGTCCTGTGCTTTATATTTGGACCAAAGTTGTTTATTGCCGTCTTTCATCCCAGCAAGAATCGTTTCACCACTACCCACCACCACGAGACCGATCCAGGGACTGAGACAAAGCAGCCAAGCGTTTAAAAAAGAACTTACTAAAATCTATGCTGATAGAGTCACATTATAGTCCATTAATGACTTGTGTAGCTTATCTAATGTTTATGCATCATTTGTTATTTTAGTCTGTTTGTAGTGCAGTGATTCGGATAGCACTGTGATGTTGACTTAAACTCGTTGGGTAAGCTGTTGCAATATACTTTTAACACTAACAACGTGTACTGGAAACTATAGCTACCATTTTTGGTCATAGCAGAATACATCTGCGAGTTCTTTGAATGCTGTGTAAATTATTCCTTGAGCATTTTAGTGCTATACACACTAACAATGTGCAAAGATAATACGCCACTGAGTTAGAGCAAACTGTGATTCCAGTTTACTAAGAAAGCCACTACAACCACTTAAATTGTTAATATAGTGTCCATCTCTAGTGATTGATATGCACATTCCTTTTTCCTACCTCATTGTGCTATAATAGCTCTTTCATCAATTTTTCCTGCCAGCATGATCATCATTTTTTCCTTTAGCAAAAGCTTTACTACGATTTTTATGTGGTTTATATCTTGGGTCCATGGAGATGTAGTGTGGTTTTTAATTGGCGAGAGAAGCAAGCCTAGTCGTCCAAATGCGGGATTTTCCCATCTTCCTCTGTAACGGTGAACTGCTACACGAAAACGCACAAAAAACACCGGAAAATTCACTTTTGATGTTACCAGCTGAGTGGTACTGGTAGCTGAGGTGGCAGAGTGTTCGCCTAAACTGAAGAGTGTCATGGGTTCGAATCCCACCTAGTAGGCAGCTCTTCTGTTTTCCTTGGAAAATGTCCTGGGTGTAGTTGACTAGTTTGTTGTACATTTGCCTTTCTACCTCGTAGTTTTCAGATGTATATAATTATAATTATACTCAGTTTGGAGATGGGCACCTTTGGTGGTTTAATTACCCCGGTCTGTTCCCACATACTGAGTGAGAGTATACTGTGCTACAGCACAGTGGTTTGAGGTTTGCATTTGAGTTGTATTGTGTTGAAGATTTGAACCTATACCAGCTGAGTGGTCCTTTTAGTGCAGTTGGTAGAGCACTTGCCTAGACTGCAGTGTGTCATGGGTTCGAATCCCACATATTCCCGCTAGTAATGATGACGGTTGCATATTATATTTCAGCTAACTTAAGACTCGCTCCGCTCGCCCAAAGAATGGCAAAATGCCAAGCATTTCCACTAGTTATTATTATTATCATAATTATACATACCAAGAATGGTGCAAAGATTATAAGATATTCCATGCCACTGCTGGGATAATGTGCGGGCATCCTACGGATGGTGAGCTTGACCAGAGCGCGACACTTTTGCGCACATGCGCAGCGACGCGCCAGACACCAGGGGAAAAGTAGGGAAATCTGGAGTCCTGCATAGGATTGTTTGCACCACCACTCGCAACAATTAACCCTTAGCAAGTCACGGGCATATATGTATGTATATGTGTGCCCAGAGCCTCCATAAGTCCATAAAAGTAAATAAAAAATTCTTCCAATTACAAAAGTGTGGATTATGGGTATGCCATAAAAAGCAAGGAGAAAGAGAGGGATGACCTAGTTAACATGATGCAGTAGAACAATGGATAATGGCTACATACTTTGAACTGACATTGCTTGCTCGTGTATATAAAATTTCCTCCACACATGCCCTATATTGTCGCGAAGTAAAATACTAGTGTGCTCCCTTGTATGATGCACAGCTATGATTATGTCATAATCACATTAGACAGGTAGCTAACACCATCTGCTCTCTTTTCAGCTTTGACTGCATTGTGTGAAGTCTATATAAGACTTCTACATTTGCTCAACTAACCAGTTTTACAATGCTGCTTTCTTGGCCATCTACTTACAGAATCCTTTCACCATTGTCCTCGCTCTTCACTAAACAAACAGTAATGGTGGCAACAATATAGGGCTTGTGTGGAGGAAATTTTACACGAGAAAGCGATGTCAGTTCAAAGTATGTAGCCATCATCCATTGTACTATTGCATCACATTCATCAGGTCATCCCTGTCTTGTCTCCTTGCTTTTTATGGCATCCCCATATTCCACACTTTTTTAATTCGAAGAATTTTGTATTTACTTGTCTCCTTTCCCTTTTTACTGCATTCACATACAATAAACTTTTGGGCATAAGCCCATAAAAAAAGTAACATTAGTGGCCTTTAGCTATCGCCTCAGACATTTTGTCGTCATTCACTTACATCAGTGCACCAAGTTTGATTGTGAGAGGACAAGTTATAGACACTGACACCATTTAAAAAAGGCTTTCTTGCCTGAGGCTGTTTGTTGTTGTTTACAACCTTGTAATTTCTGTTCTGATGAACCTTCATCATGGTACATCAACATACTAAGTTTCATTGTTAGAAGACCCACAATAAACAAGTTATACGCACAAACACATTTTAAAAGTTTTTATTGCCTGAGACTGTTGGTTGTTGTTTACAAACTTGTAATGTTCAAATTTTGTTACTAATGATGGGTTGTATATGTGTACAAAGTTTTATCACTCTGGGCTTTACCTAGTTAGCACACCTCTATCTTATTGCCTGGGGCTATTTTGTTTTTTTGTTGTTTACATTTAAACAAAATTGTTTACGAATAAATGAAGCGTTTTGGTCACATTTTGAATCACATTTTCTGCCCATGTTCTGTGTGCGTTTGCTCATCAATAGCAACTAATCACTCTACCACCTAGGTCATCAACAATTTGTTGGTGTTCCGTCAGTACATGTCACAAAGTCTGTATGCCTGTCTTTTTTTTGTTTTTTTGTCCCTTTCTTCATGTACTGTAAAGCTGAAAATTAAAAAACTATCCCTTGGGGACCCTCTCTACATGAATATAAGCGTGCCTCCCATAGAGTCACTTTCAATAATATTTCTGAAAATGAATTGGAAAGCATTTCATGCACTGGTTACAAGTGTAAACTTCTTAATAATGTACTGATACATTTCCGTTAAGTATGATCTTTATTAATTGACTAACATAACGTAGGATAGTGTATCTCCCGTGAGCAGCTATAGTAATAGAACTGATGAACTATGAAATGGTGGCTTATAATAAATGTTCTTTAGGAGAAGTCGAGAGAAGTGATTGCTATCTTGAGCGTTTTGCTGCGCTGAATACTTCCAGTCACAATCACAGACGGATAACTCGGATCCTCAAATCACTCGGAGAACTGGACCACGAATATCTGAAACCAGACCTTTTGAGGTTTGTCCTGAGAGAAGGAATTCTGTACGGACACCTTGAGAACACTCTTGATAGCTGCATGAAGTACTGGGTGGAGACAATTGGAGAGGGACAGTCTCTGGCTCTTAGCACAATCACTTGTTGAGCAACGCAATTGCCAGTAAGAGAATGTTTTTTTTTGTTTTTGCACATGAGTAGATATGAACTAAATGTAGCATGTATATTAAAAGTGTGGATCAAGTTCATTGATTCCAGGCCCATACTCAGTGGCATTTCCAGCATTTACGAATAGGGGGTGTTACCGTGGCGGAAGTAGTAATAATTATGGCGCATGTGCAAGAGGGCAGGAACTGATCACTTTAAAAGCAGTTAACTACCTAAAGTTGATTTGCAGCGGAATCTCTCGTACCGACTCTGTTTCTCCGGTCATCAGACTTCTTCTTCCTCTCAATGGGAGGGGGAAAGGGTCTGAGCAATAGCTTATCTGTTCCAATGTAGAGAGAGTAATTAAGGGGCAGTGTTATCATAACAACTAGCTACTAACTATAGTACTAGTTGTCACTCTGTTTTGGGCTTACTGTAAATTAGTGGTTGCACTTGAATGCTCAAAATTAGGCCCAAGCCCATGGGATGGATCGCTTTCAACTTTTGAGAAACCGGAAAAGGCACCAAGGAACAAAATTTGGTCCCAGACTGGACGTACGCAGCATAAACATGTTTTCCTCTGACACACACACATTCAACATTAAGGACTTACAGCCTGAAAATACGAAAAAGTCATGCTACTGAGTAACCAAGAGTACAAATGGAGTTGCACATAGGGATTGCGTGATAGAGTCTGCGTGTCAGCACCATGCTTCACCTTTCTTTTTATACCTTCTGTCTGCAAAGTTTCGCTCTTACCATTTGTGAGTTATACTGACACATGTGATCCCAATGTATATTGTTGTTGTTTACAGTAAACAATGTTGTTTACAAACAAATAAGGTGACGGATATCATTACTATATGTTTTCAGTTACGCGAGTTGAATCTGAAGAAGAAGAGAAGGAGAAGAAGATGAACAAAACTCTATATCATAGCCACACACATCTATCATGCTAGGTACCATGCCCATCCCTATATCCCTATATACTAAGTACTACCGTACTTAGTGATATACTAGCTAAGCATTTTTGGCGAGCGGGAGCGACCCAACAGGTGTGCAGAGAAGGTATGCTGATGTATCATGTGGTTTGTGCGTATATTTTTCAGGTAGTGGTTATATTATCAGAAGAAGCTGAACAGAATACAAAAACGACACTAGAGTTGCTGCTACGCAGAATCTGCCTCCTGTTGAAGCAAGCGAGATTGTGGCGCAATTCTTTAGACTAGCTTCCTTACGTCAGATATACAAACAGAAAAAACAACATACCAGTCATTGTCCATGTTGTTCAATCTTTAGGACTGTATTTTGTCTCGAACACAACGTAAACCCTCTGTACCAGATGGAGTCATCCGGACAGTCAAACCAGGGAACCTCTCACGGCAGGTGATGCACAGGGACTAGTGCAAAGATGCCATTTAACAATGGAACTGGCTTATCTTTGATTGCACAATTAGCTGGCGAAGTTGAGGCTGGGTTGAAGTGGCAGTACTTCCAGCTGCACGTGACTCGTGAAATGTTGAATGTTTAATACTTCACCTAGGCAACAATATAGGGATTGCGTGATGGGGTCGGTGTGTCAGCGTGCTCAAATCTGTTCATTAACCATGCTTCATGTATCCCATCCCTATCTTGGGACAGGTTATACAGTGCTCACTGGCCATTCCTTGGAGTTTCGTTGTATGTTTTGAGCCACTTCCAGTAATGTGGGTATGGTATAAGCAAAGGTTTGATGGTCTAGATGTGTCTAGTGTTGGTAACGCAGCATTTTACCTACCTCTACTAGGGGCTTGTACAAGAGCAAACAACACAGCAATCACTGCTATATAACGTGTACGATAATAATACCTTCCACGGGAAAAGGGCCAATTACAAACACTTTAGAGCTATACGTAGCCAAAAATTGAACCTAAGTTCAAAATGTAGATTCTGTAAATTCCGTTATGTAATTTCAGCACACCAATGTGTGTAGGATGTGAAAAATGTGCTGTTTTAGTGTGTCAAGTAAACCCGCTATCTGGATGAGTAGAAAGTACACACTATTTAGGTTGGTGCATTCAACACATGTGTCATATGCTGGGACAACTACACACTTTTGTTGTGAGGCAAAACGGCACATCCGACTACTCACCATAGTGTGTCAAGTAAACACAGTATTTCGGTGGGTTACACATTCATCAGGTCGTCAGTAAATAGAAAATTCTTCGAATTAAAAAAGTGTGGAATATGGGGATAACATAATTCGAAGTATGTCATATGCTGGGACAACTACATACTTTATGTGTGTCAAAACAACCAGCTGGCGATGTGAAATTGTGTGTCGAAAACACCCAACGAATTTACAGTGTAAGCTACAGTTTGACGTAAAAAAACAAACCTGTTTACCCTCTGATAAAAAGTTTTGTGTTCAAATAGTGAATTTATGTACAAACACTCTTTTAGTCAAAACTCTTCAACTGTGTTTACTTTCAATCAATAAGTGTTTTTACGCATACAGTTTCAACCTCTCTGCCGTTTCCTTAGCATAGGGTTTGCAGTATAAACACCACCAAAAGCAGTAAATGCTGAGGCAGATGAAACGGTTGCTGAATGTTGACCTTCTAATCAGGGAGACTAGAATAATAGCTACTGTCATAAGTGGTAATTTTCGGCGCGCCAATACTTGCCAACAGTTTTCCATGCTTGCCACCTTTTACGTATAATTATTGTCCTAGTGCTGCATCCAGGCCTTGTAACTTGGCTTTTCAGCGGATTACAGTTGTTATGACTCCTAAAAACAAATATAAGGATGAAAGCCTCTCCTTTTACACAGTTATTAGACAAGAATTCGAAAAATTATCTTATGACAATCAGCCAGAATTTAGGGTTAATTTTCACTTCAGTGTGTGGCAATATGCTCATAGCACACGTTATTATAGCTATGCGTTTTTAATTAATCTCACAAGGACCATTGCACATCAGATACGTCATCAATTTGAAGGGAATGTGACGGTGCATAAGTGCTATTTGCACAGTGCAAGAATGCAGTTAAGTTTCTGTCTAGTAACAGTTTCTCTTTATGTAGCTACTACCACATTCCCTTTAAGAAAGACATGAGAAAAAAAATCCGACAATCTCCCACCATTCATTATTGATATCCATGCTTCGTGTATATGTTTCAACAATCTTGTTTACCTGTTTTAACACCACTCACCACAAAGAGTCTAAAGGGACTGATTACTTTTACAAACACTTAAGATTCCACGGGCATCTTCTTAACTTGCATTAGCCATCATGATGTTGGCACTGTCACACACATACAGTAATGTTTTACTTGGACTATCAGTTTGCACATGTGTGGGTAACACGTAGTTTGCCACTGTTGAGGCTGGCTGAGTGTAGCTCGGTGTGGGACCTCTAACACAGTATGCAGATTTCACACCTTACAGTAGTAGTATAGCTAGCTCCTTCTGCACTTGCCATTCTGATTATCTTTCTTGTCTTTTCACAGAACACTGTTTGAAGCTAATTCGTTCTCTTGACATAGCTGGTTATATCTATCGCATAAATCTTTACTCTTTAGCCAGAGTTTAAAGTAAACATGATTTGAAAACATTTCAGAGCCTTTTCGGTATACTGTGTGATCATAATGCAGCTGTGCTGTGCTTCACAATTACATCAATACATGTTTAAAGCAAACAAGATTAGTAGCTGCATGTGTTTGTATAGTCACTCGCTGTGCAATCTGTTTTTCCAATTAACTTACACATAATAGCTAGACCGCACAGGTTCTGTTGCAAAATTTTCGCCATGTGACAACAATGAGGTCGCAAGGCAATGGCAAAGCAAACACCACAACTCCACCTCAGTCAACACAAGTCAAAGGCAAACCCCAAATGACTGTGCTAAATGCTCTCACTCTTAGTGCATGGGATTGAGGTTATTGAAAACCAACTCAAAACTAAGTATAATGCCAGTGTCAACAACGTCACATGGCAGAGCTAACGCAAAGCAACGTCCACAACAGCTGGTCAGAAAAGTTGTTTATAATGAATCTAATGTCCTTGTCTATAATTATATACACCCTTGGTTTTCCTTTCAACAACACTGCAGGGGGTTAGTGTCTCACAACCAAGTATGATTCTAAGATAGCTAGTTGTCACTTAGCATGGTACACAATTTTGTATTTTGCAGTCAAGCGACTTCGAAGGCAGCACAGTTTCAAAACAAACTCCTATACGTAGCTACCATTACACATTGTGCACAATACATTTCACATTTCGTTTCATAAGCCATGCCTGCCACCCACCTTTGTTATGTTAGAGAGCTGAAATATGACTTCCTCCCCTGCACAAAGGCAGATGCTGAGACAGTTTTTACCATGTGGCTTGGCCCCCTCAATTCAGCAATGCTTTACTTGCTAACAGCGCACACATGTGTTTCGCTCTGAAGAGAAGTTTGCACTTTTATACCACTTATAACTAGGGATGTGAGTTTACCTTGTCAGCTCAATCCCAGGAGTTTCTTTTCATAGTCCCACGAGTCACCACGTACTTAACCATGCAGGCCCATGATCTCTAATACTACTTTAATTATAGTAACGTGTATAAATAAATTGCCATGAGTCAGCGACTTCCATAAGAGCATGAGCAATTGTGATGGTAAGTATGTGTGCCACACTATGAAGCAAAGGCACTGCATTCTGTGCAGCTATACACCATTTTACAGTGTGATTAATGGTGTTCTGTGTCTTACCAGTATGCATAATATTCAACTATGAATTTTACTCTGCATGTTCCACATGGTTGTCTACTCATGCGTGAATTATGATAATCGTGCTGATAAGGCTAAAAAAACTGGTATATATGCGCAACTTCAGCAGCTCAGTCAAAGCAGGAAAGAGCGAGTGTAATGGCACCTTCGCATCTCCTGCTTCTTGTTGCCTCATGCGGTGCGATCCTGTCGCTCGCTCACGTTATTGGTGCAACGACCTTCATGTTCAACTCAACGTCAGAAGTGATACGGGATGATGACAGCGGACGAATCCGCGGGATACAAAGTCGGGAGAACAAGTCGTTTGTACTGGGCGGCCTGTTTCCAATCCACTTCCCCTCCGGCGATTCGTCGTCGGCTTCTCCGTGCGGACCGGTGTGGCCGCAGGCACTAGAGTGGGTCGAGGCGATGCTGTACGCAATAGACAGAATAAACGCAGATCCGGACCTGCTACCTGGTGTCGAGCTTGGCTACGATATTCGAGACACGTGTCTCAGCGAGACTCTGGGACTCGACGAGGCCATCGATCTAATCATCACGGCAGTAATCTGAACATCGCGAGCTGTCAGGCAGAGTTGGATGCACGCAAAGCCGTCCCCTAACGAGAGTGGTCCAGGAGTGTACCCTGTTCCGACCTCGGGGATAGTGGGTGCCGCAGGAAGCAGAGTTTCCGTCCCCGTGGCCTCGCTTGGCCGACTCTTCAACATGCCGCAGGTCAGCTATGCATCAACCAGTCCGCTTTTGAGCGACCAAACTAGGTACAGCTACTTTCGTCGCACGATTCCCGCGGACGACCTGCAGGTGCAGGCGATGATGGACATTCTGCAGCGCTTCGGTTGGAACTACGTATCCGTCCTGCATTCAGAGGACACATACGGCTCCGCGGGAGTCAACGAATTTGTCCGGGTGTCGGCGATTAACGGAATTTGCATTGACCTCCGCAGAGGCATCCAGCCATCATTGTCGGATAGCGAGTATAATACTATTGTGGAAGATCTGGGTAACTCGAGAGCAAAGGTTGTCGTATTTTTCGCAATCCAAGACGCCGTGAGAGAGGTACTAACGCGGATACACAGAACGAGACTTTGAGAAACCGTTTCTTGTGGATCGCTAGCGACGGCTGGGCTCACGCTACAAATCTGGTCCATCAATTCAACGAAACTGCTGCCGGTATGTTTGGTGTGGCGCCACTGACCCAGAAACTCGGAGACCTTACCGACTACTTGTCTCAACTCACAATCAATTCTAACCTGCGCAACGCGTTTTTTCCCGAGTTTTTAGCCACCTTTGGAAACTGCACGGTGGGAGATGACTGTGACAATGACACTAATATAGTAGGGCCCTCTTTCCAACAGGATGTTTTTACGCCGCTAGTGGTGGACGCAGTCTATGCCTATGCTACTGCTCTGCATAATTTCCTGGTCGATAACTGCAATGAAACGGAGAATGCTCCTTTTCTGTGGTTCAAAGAGAGCAGGACATGTTTCGGTCAGTCACGTGAGCTCAATGGCGCTTCTCTCTTGGAGTACCTCAGCAACGTTAATTTCAAAAGCATCACTAATCACTCCATTGTATTCGATGAGTCGGGGAGCGTTCGGGGATTTTACGAGATCCTCAACTACCAGGCATTTCAAAAAGGCAACGTGAAAGTGTACCAGGTTGTTAGTGTAGGGACTTGGGTTGAGAGGAATGTGAGTGAGCAACTGACGCTGAATGATGATAAGGACCTGCAATTCGGTGTCAGCAGTGATGGAAGCTTGAGAAGTATGCCAATTCAGTCTGTGTGCGGTGGATGCCTTCCGAGTACCTATGTAAGGAACATTCCAGAGTCCTGCTGCGATATATGCGACCCTTGCCTTGGAAGTAACTACTCCTCTGAGCCACTTGCGATGGAATGCAGCAGCTGTCTCGTTGACGGAGAGAGGGAGATGTGGGGAAACAGTCCGTTCACTGGAAGCAACAGCTGTGTCCTGATCCCCGAGACTTCGGCCATGTACAGTGACCCCTGGGCCATTCCCAGCCTGTTCTTTGCCTGCGTTGGACTCTTGTCTGTGGCAGCAACTGCTGTCATCCTTGGAATATACTGGAAAACACCGATTGTCAAGTCCTCAAGTCGAGAGCAGATGATCCTTCTCCTAATCGGCATCACCTGCAGCTTCATTCTTCCATTCTTCTATGTGGCTCCTCCCTCCATCCCCATCTGCCTGGTCAACAGACTGGGGATCTGGTTCTGCTACTCTCTCATGTTTGGAGCACTGGCTATAAAAGCTCAAAGGATTGCCAGGATTTTCTATGGCATCAAGCGAAACCTCCACCACGTTCCTCGGTTTTCAACTCCCATCTATCAAGTCATCTTCACGCTTATAATAGTTGCCATTCAGATGGTTCTCGTTGTCGTTTCACTCGCAGTTGTACATCCTGAGGTGCAACGTATGATACGCCACGATCAGAATAGTAAAGGAGGCCTTGGACTACCTGAGGTTGTCATAGTCTGTCGGAAGGAAGAAACTGCAGTTGTTGCACTATCCCTACTCTACGAGACCTGCATTATTGCTGTTGCCACTATTCTTGGAATATTCAGCTTCAAATTCCCTAAAAATTTCAATGAAGCAAAGTACATATCGTTCTGTACCTTTTCGCTCCTCGTTGTGTGGTTGGGCCTCATACCAGCTTACTTTACGACCGAGTCGAGACCAGAGATCCAGAACGCTGCCATCTCACTGTTCATCATCTTTGAGTGCTTTCGGAGTCCTGTGCTTTATATTTGGACCAAAGTTGTTTATTGCCGTCTTTCATCCCAGCAAGAATCGTTTCACCACTACCCACCACCACGAGACCGAACCAGGGACTGAGATAAAGCAGGAAAGCCTTTAAAAAGAATTTACTAAAATCGTACAACATTATGTTACGAGAATTCACACTGTAGTCTGTAAGTGACTTGTGTAGCTTATCTACAATTATGCATAACTTGTTATTTTAGTCTGTTTGTAGTGCAGTGATTGGGACAGCACTGTGATGTTGACTTAAAGTTGTTGGGTACGCTGTAGCAATATACTTTAAAGTAACAACGTGTACTGGAAACTATAGCTACCATTTTTGGTCATAGCAGAATACATCTGCGAGTTCTTTGAATGCTATGTAAATGAAAAGCACTGAAGTGCAAACCCTCGGTGAACTGCGCATGCATGACACTGCTAACTTACGGGCTGGGCTATTTGTACGCGTTTACTCGTTGTCACCCACTGGTAGCTCGCGGAGAGTCTGAGACAGGCTAGCTACACAAGTTGATAGCATGTGGGAGTCGATACATGCCCTTCGTTGTGACTTCTTTTCTTTCCTTCTTCCTCCTCCCTCCCTCTCTGTCCCCCTCTCCTTTTTTCTTCCTTCTACAATTCTACAATTCACTCTCTACTAAAGCTATATACTACTACAGCTAAACACCCTTCCATCCTGCCTCTGCAGGTGGTAAATGAAAATGAACTATAAATTGCCAAAACTAACAGCAACACTGCCAATATCCCCTGTATCAGTGATAAAATGAACTAAAACTTCCATCAGTCTACCACCATCTGCACAAGCAACACAATTCCAGCATAACCCTATTTTACCACGTGTCCTGCGTTCTACACCAAAGGTGTATATTTGTTCCAGTCACACTCAGACGTGAACAAATGATCTCTTGAACACATGATCAGGCTTGTACCAAGTGAGAGTGTACTGTGCCAGAGTTACTGAGGTTTGCCCTTTAGTTGAAGATTTGAAAAACTGCACCTGCTGAGTTGCCCTACATACTAGGACAGCTCTTTTCGCTGGTTGTCCCATGTGCTGTTGATTTGTTTGCCTTCACTTCACACAGTCGGATGCACACAATAAACGTGCCACTAGCAAACTAAATCTGATTGCTCAAATCACTGATAATAAGTGTACGTACGAAGCCATCAAAATTATGTCAGGTAACACCATTAACTAGTGGGCTACATGTATACTGTATAGCTTGCCGGATTGTCTTACTATTGTTGTGGCTGGCCTGACACATCATCCACAAAAGTAATGCTATTAATCATTCTTTTAGCGCTGTGCATGATGAACTAATCCTACGGCAAAAGTTTCAACTAAACGTAATTATTATGATCAAAACACAGGATAATGGTCCAATTAAGACAATATCTACAACAACAGTGTGTATAAATAATATACGGTACAGTGGGTCTGAGCCCACCATTGTGCATAAGGAAGTTACGTATTTTAAATACACACCCACAATAATATATCATTCCTTCATCTTTGAAACGCACGTCGTATAATGAACCTTGGAGCTGCAGAAGATTTGCTATTGGTTAGAAAGCTTGCTATTCGGAAGACTTAAATAACATGAGTAACGGCATGTAAACGGTGCGAATATCCAGTCTTAGTTAGAAGAGACATGAACATAATGAATGAGCACTTGACTATATACTTCAAGAGTGAATTTTCAAAAATTAAAAATGGACTGGGCGCTACCTCGAGAATGAATTTGAAAACATTTTTTCAATGCACTGGCACAACTTCAAGAATGAATAAAAAAAGGGGACTTGCACTTCGAAATAAAACAAAAAGTAAAAAAACCACTCCACCGGGCAAGAGGCCAACATGCCCAGTGAAGCAGAGGCACTCAGTATTGTCAAACTGAGAGTGGGTAAGGGGAGGAACCAGAGCTGTTCCCAGCCAGTGCTCTGGATCACCTACCAGCTTCCAGCCCGGGATCGATCTCTCGACCACCGGAACTTTTATATTGGTTGTCCCCACTTCTACTGATTGCGCCACATGAGTGACCCGAGAGCAGTAGTTGAAATTTCGCCAATATGCCCAACACTTCACTGGTAGTAGTTGCTGGGGTCCAACCCAGGTAGCACCTAATACGTGCTCCACTTTCAGGAGCTTTAGCCACTACACCATCGACTGATGGCAGTTTGTAATAGGTAGCATCACTACCAGAGTCGAATGCAGTTTTAATGCACGCGTAGCCGCTTGTATCGCTAATAGGCTGCCTCATAGCCTGTAGTGCCAGAATAAGCGTAGACACACAGAGAGACAGACAAACCAACTACTGTAACACTTGCTGCGCATGCGCGCCAGGCGTTAATAACATAGAAGGGTTTACCCATTGCACATGTCTTGATGGGAGTGGCGATGATGGTGAGTGTGGCCATACGTCTGTATGGAGAGTTGTCATGCCCACTATACCAGAGATCAGCAGACATGGTACTCCAGCACTTCTCTTCTCTCAGTTATTAACCCTCGGCGCGCATGCGCAGCGAGGGTTACGGTAGTTGTCCCGTCTGTCTGTCGTCAGTCTGTCAGTCTGTCTGTTACCACGTTTTCTGCCACCGCGCGCACGAAATCAGGTAAATAGCGATATGATCGGGTTCAGTGCTACACTGGGTTGATTTTAAAAAAGGCGATTTTCGTAAAACTACTGTGTTTTTAAGTTATGGCGTGAAAACCAAGTGAACAAGCCAATATGTAAATTAGCACAGGCTTACCTCGACCGCGTCCGTTCGCTCTGTGTGTCTTGAAGGCACAACAAGTCACAACGAAGGGCATGTATCGACTCCCGCATGCTATTTACTACTGTAGCTAGCCCGTGCCAGACTCTCCGCGAGCTACTAGCGGGATACCACGAGAAAAGGCTTAAAAAGCCCAGCCCATTAATTAGTGGTACCGCACATGCGCAGTTCGCCGAGGGTTTGCACTTTAGTGCTTTTCATTACAGTGGAAGTACACCTCATAATGAATGACACCCCTTTCTAGAGGACACTTGGCTTATACCTTTATTTCCCTAAAGTACCTGAAATGTAGTATATACTCCCATTGTAAGAAAAGTTACTGTAGTTTTAAGAATGTGTTGCAAACCACTCACCTTTGCACAAAAGTATAGGCGGTATAATGCCTGAAGTTTCCCCACAACCCACTGTACTCACTACCTCCTCCACCCAGGGTCTTGGAGTTCCATTCAACATCGCCAGCTACTCTCTGCTGACGTACATGATAGCTCACGTCTGCACCCTCCACACACCCCTCATTAACGTATGACATCATCATAATTAACTCCCTCTCCAGCAGGTAGACTTTGTACATACTCTAGGAGATGCACATGTCTACTTCAACCACATCCAACCCCTCAATATACAGGTTTGTGGGTTATAATAATTGGCTTATCACATTGTCTGCTGCCAGTAAACCTTATTCCTCCATTTCTAAATACACTCCTGAAAATATAGACACTTACAGTAACAGTTCCTGCATGCAATTTTACCCCTGAAATGCGAACACCTTACTTTCTTCTCCCAATCAGTGTCAGGATTAGAGGAGTTCGACTGTATAATGAACGTACCAAAACTTGCTAAACAGACCCTGATTGAGTTTGTGGTAATAATAAGACCATGGTAATGAGAGGGGCAGTGTGTCATTCCCCCATTCCTGTCCCCAGCTGCAGCGGAGCCCGAAATCATTCCCGAGACTGGAACTGAGGAGACAGGTCTCCGACATCGACAAGTTTGTTTACGATGACATCATTCTCCGTGACTACCATCCTCACCCCAAGATAAACATGGACATGGCTGTGTAGCATCTTTTGAATGAAAAGCACTAAAGTGCAAACCCTCGGCGAACTACGCATGCGCGGTGCCGCTAAATGGATGGGCTAGCCCGCGGAGAGTCTGACACGGGCTAGCTACGGTATTAAATAGCATGCGGGAGTCGATACACGCGCCTTCGCGGTGGCTTCTTGTGCCTCCAAGGTACACTGAGCAAGCGGATCAGATCGAGGTGAGCCAGCATCACGAGTTGATGGCGTCTAGTATACGCATGCGCACCGCTTAAGTACTGATGGGTTGGGCAACGTGCCAGTTTGTCGCTCTCGACAGGGGTGCCGATTTGGCTCTATTCACTTTCATTTCAGGTCATAACTTTTGAACGCAGAAGTTATATCAAAATCGGCTTGGGTCAGCGGAGCAGATTGTCGGCTCTGTTGATACCAGCAGACATTTGTATCGCTTGACTCCTGTTGTGGCCCATGCTAGGTGTGTTCATGAGAGTTTACCCATGCGTGGGTGGTCGGATCCATGCTGGATCTCTGATCGCGGATCGTACCGTGGAACCGCTCCTGTCCGGGGCGTAGTTTGGGTCGGCAGAGCAGATTGTCGGCTCTGTGTTCGGCAATTCATACCAGAGTTTCGGCATGTCGTCCCGAGGGCTGCAGCGATGAGCTCTCCCTTCCTTTGCAGGGGAGGATGGGTCGGATGATCTGGGACGCCTGCCCGACCCAGATGCAATTGAGGGTTTACACCTCCCGGTTGTGGAGACTTAGGGCGAGGGAGCGAGCTCGGCTATCCTGGCAGGAGTAAACTCTGTAAAGGTGGCAGGCAACTCCAAGAACATCAAGGAGTAGGACAAGTAGCCACCTCAGCCAGCTTTCCTCCTGGGGGAGGGCCTCTCCCCAGTGCCGCCCAAGTTGGTTGAAAAAATTCAACGTCTGGATTTTGTGGACATAGCTGAACTGTTGGGGGACAATCTGGAGGTCCATAGGCACTCCTCCGTCAGCGATCTGCAGCCCACAAGCCAGTCGAGCAAGAGTCGGAGGCGGGAAGTGCCCGATGTTCTCAGCTGGGCCTCTTGTTTTGGTGTTTACATGGCAGTTCTGACGGCGAAGCACCCCGAAATGGTAAAACAACTCTTTGCCTATCAAACTATGATGCTGCGGGAAGCACATCGATGTGGAGGTAGTGGGTGGCAGACTTATGACTCCTACTTCCGTCAGCAAGTAGCGGGGAACCCTACAGCCGACTGGTCCTGGCTGAATACAGCCTTGTATGCAGTGACATTCTTGTCACAGAGCAACAAGAGTGGCACCAATTGCACCCTATGCATGGCCTCCGATCACACCTCCCAGGAATGCGCCATAACCCTGCATCAACCCCGCCAAATGCTGCCAGCGAAGCGCTCTCTCAGTGGCAGCGCAGATTCGGAGAAGGACAAGCGACGGGCTGTAACACCGTGCTGTTTTGCGTTGAATCAGGGGGAATGCCGCTATCCTCGATGCAAGTATAGACACACGTGTCTCCACTGCTCAGGTGACCATCCCATGACCAAGTGTGGGTCAGTGTAGCAAGGTCCGGAAGGCAAACCACAGCGGGACCCTAAGTCAAGCCGCTAGAGGCCTAGTCACGACCTCGGACACTGGAGTTCTGGTGTTGCCTGGCAAATTCGTATGCATATAGTGTTAGGTTGTGTGTTCCTGTCGTTCATATTGCTTACATGCTCCCCCACATAAGTCTTCCGGGTCTCATAATATTATTGTGAGCATCCACTTGAACTCCATTCCAGGCTCGGAGGGTGTGGTCCTACCCAAAGCGGGGGGTTAACCCCGGAGGGACGGTACATTTACATGGACGATCTTCTGAAACTGGATGCTTGCCGGCCACCTCAGGCAATAACGGTGCCTCCTCGGGTTGATAGTATAAACACCCCCCTGCACCTATAATATAGAGGTCTGGCGGGTAGAACTAAAGGACCACCCAGATGAGGTGTATGTCCGCTATATATTGTCTGGCATCAAGGATGGTTTCCGCATAGGTTATGACTATGCGGCACACACATGTGCCAGTTCGAGCAAGAACATGCAATCAGCTGCAGCTCATCCTGAGCCGATCGACAAGTATTATAGAGGAGGAGGTCTCATTGGGTCGTATGGTGGGGCCACTGGATTCCCAGTGGAGGTCGTCTATCCACATCAGTCGCTTTGGCGTGATCCGAAAGCCACACCAACCTGGCAAGTGGTGGTTAATAACATACTTGTCCTCTCCGAATGGCACTATAGTATCAACGATGGAATTGACAGCCAGCTCTGCTCCCTCTCCTATGCCTCGGTTGATGACGCAGTTAGATGCATTGCCCATTTGGGAAAGGGCACAAAGCTGGCGAAGTTTGTTATCGCCAGTGCATACAGGGTGGTGCCAGTGAGTCCGGACGACCGCATGCTGCTAGGAATGCTCTGGAGGGGGATGCTATATGTCGACGGGGCTCTGCCATTTGGCCTCAGATCAGCCCCGAAATTGTTTACAGCCGTAGCGGACGGCCTCTTGTGGGTTATGGGCAGGCATGGGGTCTCCAACGCACTTCACTATCTCGATGATTTCTTGATCATGGGCCCTCCCCACTCTAAGGAGTGTGAAGAGGCTCTTCGGACATCCTTGGCGTTGTGCGAGTTTCTTGGATTCCCCATCGCCAGCCACAAGGTGGAAGGTCCGGCCACCAGCTTGGCGTTTTTGGGGATATTGATCGATTCAGAGGCGGGCGTCTTGAGATTACCAGGAGACAAGCTGGCACGGCTGCAAGATATCATTAGGCAGTGGTAGGGCAAGCGAGCCTAGCCTCTACCAAGAGAGACCTTCTCTCGCTGATTGGTCATCTGAGCCACGCTTGCAGAGTGGTGAAGTCTGGTCGCACGTTATTAGGCGTATGATTGACCTCTCCGCTACTCCAAAGGAGTTGCACCACTGGGTCAGGTTGAACAAGGGTTTCCAGTCAGATCACAACTGGTGGGCAGCATTTCTCGAGGGCTGGAACGGGGTTTCCCTGTTTGGTGAGTTTTTCGCAGCAGCATCGGCAACAGTGACATGAGATGCATCAGGGAGTTGGGGCTGCGGGGCCTACAACAACTCAGGTGCCTGGTTTCAGTTCAGTTGGCCGGAATTGTTGGCCCAGATTCACATCACTACAAAGGAGCTGCTACCAATCATTGTAGTATGTGCAGTATGGGGCCAGGCGTGGCAAGGGAAGACGGTATGTTGCTGGTGCGATAACGCTGCAGTTGTCGCTATTATTCGCTCCAGGTCCGCGAAAGACCCTATCACCATGCATCTCATGCGTTGTCTCTTCTTCTTCACGGCAGCCTACAACTTGGTTCTTGAACCAAGGCACGTTCTGGGCAGGGAGAATATTACGTGTCTCGTGACGCCTTGTCATCCTTTCTGCAGATAGTTCCGCACGCTCAAGAACTCCCAACCGAGTTACCAGAAGTGCTGATGCGGGCGTTGGTGCATCAAATGCCGGACTGGACATCAGAGCAGTGGAGAGTCGTGCTGCGTTCTATTTTGCCAACGGTCTTGCAGCCTCCTCCCAGAAAACCTACAAGTCAGGAGAAAATCGCTACCTAAGCTTCTGCACCAAACTCCAGTGTCCGCCCCTCCCCCTGACGGAGTCGGCTTTGTGCAAGTTCGTGTCGTACTTATCTGATGAACCTTTGCAGTTCCATACCATTAAGACATATTTATCAGGATTGAGATTTCTTTCAAATAAAGTCGGGCCACGGCGACCCATTTAGAGCCATCATGCCACGTCTCGACTACGTTCTGAAGGGCGTGAAGCGGGTGCAGGCAACCATGGGGGTAATCGCCGAGAACGCTTGCCGATAACACCAGATATATTGCGGAAGTTAAAGGGGGTATGGGCCTCCACATCTGCCGATCCCGACAGCAAGCTCATATGGGCGGCCTGCTGCCTCTGCTTCTTCGCCTTCCTGAGGGTGGGAGAGATGACGACTCCTGATGTGAAGTCGTATGATCCGGGAGTGCATCTGAGCTTGTCAGATGTGGCGGTGGACAGTGCTCGAAACCCGTCATTTGTCCGGGTCTCGATTAAACAATCGAAGACGGACCCATTTTGGCGAGGGATCTGTCTATTCGTAGGACGTAGAGACGCCGAGCTCTCTCTGCCCAGTGGCAGCGATCTTCTCTTTCCTACTTTGCAGAGGTTCAGCCCCCGGCCCTCTGTTTAGGTTTGCATCCGGGGAATACCTCACGAGAAAGCGTTTTGTGGAACTAGTCAGAGCTGCCTTGACTAGAGGCGGCATAGAGCAATCAAAGTATTGTGGTCACACTTTTAGGATCGGTGCCACAACAACAGCTGCCGCACGGGGTATTGAAGACAGCATCATTAAAACGCTAGGTAGGTGGGAGAGTGTTGCCTACCTACAGTATGTCCGTATTCCCAGGGAGCGCCTGACACAGTACTCCAGAGTCCTGGGGTCGCCCTGGTTAGCCTCATCTTGATTGTCCGTCATTTGTTTGTGGGTCACCCAAGTAATCTGCATTCCACTGTCATATATAGTTGTTATTTTTATGTTGGTGTCAAGGGTGTAAGGTATG